ATCACCATCATTTGCTTGTCTTTCCATTCTACAGTTTATTCTGTTCTCTCTCAGGCTTTGCTTGTACCCTTTTAGATTTTTCCATGTGTGTTAAAACCCTAAGGTCTCAGTTTTTTCAGTTTACACCATTTTCCTACTATACCAAAATACTTGAAACTCCATTGCTATCACATTAGACTTTTCATGAAGCCTATGACTGGTTCATTCTCTTTTAGCTTTGGTTTTTCTCCAGTGGAATATTGGCCAATTGTACTGTCATATGTGTGAAGGCCACACTGATGACTAATGTTTAATAGGCAAATACCAAAACATTTGTTAGCTTGTGATGATTTGTGAGATGTTTTTGGCTAACTGATTAGTATGAGAATTTGGGTAGATAGATGAAAAAATATTTCAAAAAACATTAGAACTCATTCATTTGGGTGGGAGTTTAAAGCTGATTAATGATTATGGTTTGTGTTAGCAGTTATTTTTCATGATTACTCTTATTAACAAAACATAAGTATTAAATTTAAATCCGCTGGGTTAAATTGTGCATCATTTGCAACTTTTAAGGGGGTATTGGTGGAGGCAGACTTGGATTAATCATTTGCTTTTCGTAAGCTTTGCTTTCAACTATACAACATCATGCAAATGATATATTGGCCATAATGAAAGAAAATTGTTATATTCACCTGTTTGTAATGATAATTTGCTAATTGGCTTGTAACAAAGTCTCGGAAAGGTTTTATTTCTCAGTGAAACTGTGGAAAATATCTTGCTAAAGGTTTTAATGACAAAAAGATCTGTTTTTACTTTTCTGATGTCAATGTTGTGCTTTCAGACATGTGCAAACTTAACAGTCATCCTGTCTATATCATTTTCTTTTGGAATGACAGCTTAACAGTTTTCCTGCACGGATTGTGTTAAAAATCTTTACAGACCAGATTCACTAAAACATATGTTCAACTTTTGGGCTCCAAGCTGTACTAGCTGTAGTGCCAACTTTTTTTATTTTTTTCCAAAACTATACTTAACTTTGCAATTTTGTTACCATTGATCCTCATTATTAATGCTGCATTAAAACATCATTAATTTAGATTCTATTAATCTATAACTTCTATCATATCAGGTGATATGAAGCTTACTTTTTCCTAAGAAATAATTACCACATAAACAAATGGGTGGAGATTATTAATATAGCTGAGAGGACCAAATATTTCAAAAAACTTTAGTACTTTGTTGCTTTAAAATCTTGAGGAATATACATAATAATCAAAATATCCTGATCAAAAGGAGGTGCTTGAACCTTGGCATATACATTTCCTTTTATCAATTTCAGTACTAAGTAATATATCTCAGATTAGAACTAAAATCTTCTGACTCCTAGTGCTTTGTTCTTTTCAGTGTACCAAGTTGGCCATGCTTTGTAAATTGCTGTGGAATTGTTTGTTGCTAAATGACTGTTACCAGTAAAACCCTATCCAGACAGACCATTTGCAATGATTGACCCCTTTCCTGTCACTTGAAAGTAATAAAATTTTATCTTTAAAAATTATGTATTTAGGAACAGAACTCAACAATTTATACCATAACATTGAAAAGACAAACACCTTGAGAAGTGTAATCAGCACAGTGATTAATCTGGATTCCAGAGGACTCATAATGAAACATGCTACTCACCTCCTAAGACAGAGGTGATTGACTGAGCACAAATTGAAACAAGTATTTTTTGCACATGGTCAATGTGAGAATTTGTTTTCTTGACTATGCATATTTATTATAGGGTTGCTTTTTTTTTTTTGCCTTTTCAACGACATGAGTGGGGGAAGGTAGGATGGAAAGTAGTTTTTCATTAAATGAACAAAATCAAAGCATATATACTTTAGACTAACTCTAAAATAATTTTCTAGCAATTAGTCTTTCAGTGATGGCTTAATGTAATTCAACTGTTTTCTTGAAAGCAAAAGATAACTATTGATTTAATGAGAAAGGTAGTATACAACCTACTCATTTGTTGTCTGATTGTCTCCCTTTCTGTTGAACAGAATAACCTTGGTTTTCATTGAACTCTATAGCTTTTGTATTTATATATGGTTATATAAACAAATAAATAGTAGTAGTAGTAGTAGTATTTTTGTGTGGGTTGGAACTTCCTTAGTTAAGGAAGCCTATGGAGAGATAGGACTTTTGAGTGCCATACCCTAGCAACCAGAAATGTAGTGTTGAAGTAGTTTATCAGTTTATGGAGAGTGTGATTTGAACATATGCGAATTACATGGACTGTCACTTCATCCTACAGGAAGTAACCAAAAGTGTGCTTGGGGAGGTAGGGATAGGAAGGGAAAAGGGAAAGGGAGAAGAGAAGTCTCATTGTGTCTTCTCCCCTACCCCAAACACAAACATTCACACCTTGTGCTTTTGACCAAATATTTGATATGACATTAAGTAGACTTATAAAAGAACAGAGAAATGGAGAGTGTATGTTAAAAGAGAGGGTACTCAGCAGAATGCTGAGGAGTGAAGAGACGAATGAAAATCAAAGGACAGTGAACCAGTGATAATTACAAATAAACCTATCAGAAATACCTTTGTACTCAAATCTTTGAGTAATATGATTTGGCTTTGGGAATTTTTATTGGTGACAACCATTTTTCTTAATATCATCCCTTTAAGAAGACCAATGTCTTCTGCATCGAGTATGAAGAAATAGGTTTTCAGAACACTGTTAACAAACAGGGATACTTTCCATATAATTAAATGACTTGCCTCCCTTTCTGAACATCACAATGCTGATTGATTGCCCCATCTGAAATAGCATTTTCAATACTGCTCTTAGAAATGGGGAACCTCAGAGCATCTCATTCTGGTTCTTCATATTCCCTAATTCTTCTGAGCTACAATCATATCTGTAGAATTCTACCTGTAATTATGTCAATATTTATAAACTGAAAAAAAAAATGGAAATATTAGGCCATCTTTTTACCTGATTCTAACAGTACCTTTTTCATTGTATTTACTCCCTGATTAGGCAGGCAGAGGGGAAGCTGAATAAAAAGCACACTGACAAATTCAACTCATAAGACGGCTGTGATATTGGGAGATAAAGGAATACATAGGGGCATATAAGGAACAGTGCTGTGATGCTTTTTTTTTTTGGTTCATGATTCCTCTAAGCCAGTAAAACTACAATCAGAGAATTAATTTCCCAATATTTTTAATTGCTCCTATAAAAGTTTTGTCTTTTCCCATCTGTTTGTGATCTTTTCCAATAGCCATGTAGTGCATCAGTACCATTCATGCAATTGGGACCTCCTGTTATTATTGAAAATGACTCTCCATGGAAGATTCCCTAGAGGCAACTGGAGAATATATCAGTTCATGTGAATCAACAGATATCTGTGGTGTGTTTAACTAGTGCTAGGCACAGGGAATCATGTAATCTCCATAATCTGCATATTTGTTTCCAAACATAATTGAAAATGCTGACTGTTTTACTTAGTTAAGCCTTGAATGATTTTAGCTTCGGTTACCATAGCAATCACTGTTCGTATGTTTACCATTAATGGCACTTTAAGATAACTGAGCTGCTTTTGTTAAAAGTCTCAAAATTCCTTTTATGTGAAACTGAAGACAAGATGACTCACTTGGTTGTAGACTTTCTGAACAGGTCAAGCCTGGAAAAGCTTTAGTTAGGAACTTTGATTCATAGTATTAATACCAGCCCTCTTTTTTTTTTAAAGTGACCTTCTTAAGGTCAGATTATTTTCAAGATTTTTTTCTTTTAAACATACATTTTTAGAGTTATAAAATACTTTTATTAATTAGTAAGTTTTATTTTGTATTTATAGTTTGCTCATGATATAATTGACATCATTTAAATTAAAAAAAACAAATAGGAATATACTGGAGTTAGAGCTTTTATTTTTAAATTCAGTTCACAGTGTTTTTAGTTTGTCACATATTTGTAACTGAGAGGATAAACTATTTTAAATCTTATTTGTAACATAACTAGAACAGGTGAACCATTTAGAATTTTTAGCAAAGTCATTGACCCTTTTTCTGATCTTCTCTTGGCTATAAACAATTCATATCTTAAAATCCATCCTGTGTAGTCTTTAGAGAAGAAACAGCATAAATATATTTTGATTTGAATATTCATGTTTCATAGGCATAACAATTTAATATAAAATGTAAGAAAGATAAAATTAGTAGATAGTTGAACAATCACTCATTTATCTTTTTTTAACCTTATAACATAACTCAAATTCTGCCATTAATGTCACAGTTAAACTTTTTTCATACCATCTTGTTTATAGTGTATGTTATATATCTTTTTGAACTACTGTATCACCCATTTGCAGTGATTGTATCAGATGCGATTTTTTACATTAAAATTAAATGGTGATGTTCTGATTCACTGTATTTATCATACAGGTGCTGAAAAAACTTAGAAATCTATCAACATTATCTGTAATGTCTTCATATTTTCTATCATTTTCAGTATTCCAAGTTTAAGCCCTTTCTTTCTATCCTGTTTTCCCCATAGCTTTTCTATACTATTTTGGTACTTTCCTTCTCAACTACCTAGGTTGTTTTTTCTTAAAATTTGAATATTTAAATATATACATTGAAATGAACAAAATATAGCAGTTTCTTTCTCCCTACTACTGCTACAGAAAGAGGAAAATTGGCGTAGAGATATAGGAAAATGTTTAACTGCAACAGCCTCAGCTGAAAATGATTTGTTATCTATCACAAAAAAGTTAGGTTAACAGTGGAGCTAGAGAATTATGTTTTCTCTCCGTTTGTTAATATATAATATCATTTTAAAAAGTGTTGTTTTACTTTTGATAGTGTCAGAATAGACTGCCATCATAAGAAAGGCAATTCAATGTATTTTTAGATTCCATTCTTGAGTTATGCATGTAACTGAACTCAAACCACTTGTAAATCTGTAACATCATTAAGTTGGAAAAAATACCAACTCTTAAAAACTGAGTTTTTTGTCTCTCTTTTTCAGTCAGTGGCCAAAACTGGGCGACTCATGATCAGTCATGAGGCTCCCTTGACAGGAGGCTTTGCATCAGAGATCAGTTCTACAGTTCAGGTATAGTAACTTCTCTCTCTCTCTTTTTGCATAAATTCTAATATTTCATAGATTTTCCTGTGTCTTAGGGAGAAAAAAAAAACTAGTTATCACAACATACAAAAGTAAGTACTTCATTCAAATCCATGTTCACTGCCTTGTAGTTAATGGTGTAATTACATCTTCTGGAAAAGGGCTTTGGGTAAAAATAAAAGCTAAAAAATCCTATGAGAAGAAAGTTTGAAACCAGTTCAATATAGTATGTTCTGGTGTATTTAAAATTGTATTTGAATAAGCTGTATGCAGAGTTTTGCAAAATCTTCTTAGTTTGAATCTGATGTTTTCCCCTAATGAAACCAAAGCTGACTATGAAATGGTTCATTTTGAAGTTAGTCTTAAATGTTTTTAGACTCCAACTTGTAATAAATTACTTTGTCAAAAAGTCAGTCTTTTAAAGTCATTTGTGCAACTAAATTACTTTATGGTACTGGCAGCTGCAGCAGAATGGTTGAAAGGCTTATGTAAAGACATATTTTAAAATAGTCACTCAAAATGTGTGTCCTGTTACATGAGAAAAAATAATATTCCTTTCTGTATCACTTTCAGTTGTTAGAGTATTTACTTAATGCCTCTGTTCACATTTTTTATGCCATATCATGAAGTAGATAACATAAAAAGAGTATATTCCTTTTCCTTTACTTTGTATATTGAAAAGCAAATTAAATCTGACATGTTTTAATGTAAAAATACATTACTGGAATGAAATGTTTACTGTTGAAGTTGTACTGTTCTTTAGCCATATTGAGAATTTTTCTTAATTCCTAAAATATTTTATATTAATTTTAATATTAGATTTTCCTCTACTTTTTTAATTCAATTTTTAATTCACTTCAATATTAGTAGAGATTCCATTTTATTATAAATGGAATGTGTAGAACTCAATCATAGCACTTCCTCAGAAATTAAAATATTACCAATGAATAACATTAAATACCAATTCAGTGTTTATTATAACTTATAGGAAACTATTGATTATTTTGAAGTTTTAACTGCTATAACTTTATTTGTATTACAAAGTACAATAAAATAATTCAAAGTGTTTTTTTAAGGGAAGAACTGTTTTAAAAGTGACATTAATGAATAATTTAAATATGTTTGTCTTTTTTGAAATAGAACAAGGTTAACCATCTGTAGTTACCTACTAAAATGAACCGAGTATTATTGCTACTTAGAATTATTATGAGCTTAATTAGTACAAAGACATACGATGAATGGTTATATACAAAATTTAGTGAAAGCGAGCTTTGAGGTTCTTATAATATAAATTTTTTTCTTTCTTTCCCCTCCTCCCTCTGAGCCTGGGTCTCCCTCTCTCTCTTACCCAGCATGCACATGCAGTGGCCTCTCAAGTACCCAGCTCCAATACTTGATCAGCCCAAAGTTTTGACGTGGGCCAGTTTGCCTCTTGGGCATCCTGGTTACCCCCTGCTACTAGAGGTTATCCTAATGAGTGCAGACACTCAATTGCCTTCTGCCATTTGTTTTCCCATTTTATTAAGAGACAGCTTTCTTGTTAAAAGTCTTACAGTATTGTTTGCATCATCAGTATTTTGTATTTTAAAGCATTTTCCCCCTATGCTTGTCCAGTTTTCCATTGTTCATTTGTGGAAATTGAGTGCTGCTAAATGTTGTTAAAGGTTGATCGTTAAGATCAAGGTTATGTGGTAGGCCAGCTGGAAAAAAGAAATTGCGCTTTACATTTTTTTTAATGATGTGTTCAGTTCACTCTATCCCACATGCAACATTGATTAATACTTGTTGCCTAAATCTGAACTTCACTTGTCTGCTTTCTCTATAAATTTGCCCGCCAAATGCTTTATTACAATAACTTTATAATGACCTTTTCATTGCATTTGAACACCAAAGGGGTGTTCAACAAAAAAGGGATCAGGGTGGTAGTGAGGGAGTAAAGAAAAGTGGATGAAAAAGATTGGAAAGTAAAACTCTGTGGGATTTTTGCTCCTAGCTGTGCCCTTAAAGTATGCTCTCACTTAAGGGCACAGTAAATTTTGTGTGTGTTATGCATACCCACCCACTCTCTTTCTTTAGGAAGTATCAGAAGAGAATGATAGGATTTCTGGATCAGGGGTTTAATTTATTCACTTGTAGTTTTCTCTATTAAAATGCTTCAATTGATCAAACATGAAGTTATTTCAGTTATTAATGAAGCAAGACATTGACATGATACACAAGCATGTCAAACCTCTATATTAAAGAACTTAGAAAATTGAAATTTAATTTTCTTATAACAAGGGAATTGAAGATATACAAGATAAAATTGGAATTATGCAGGAATGATGGGTATAGATATGGCATCATGCAATGTGGAGTAAATGGATTTTAATGAGAAGTTAAAACAGCTCAGTGTTCACAAATATGTCCCTTCATGTCAATGAAAAATATATACCATGATAATGGGGGATAAAATGATTTTACTGAGATTATGCAGTAAGATGTGATGATGCTGTTATATTTGATGACAATGTTTTGTTGTGTACTTTTGAAGTGTTCTAAATATGGTGAGAATCTTTTTAACCCATTTAAAGGTTGTTGGCAGTCTTTTGATTTTTAAATCTGTGACATAAATTAAGAATGCCTTATGTTGTTGAAACTGAAATCACTTAACAATTCTGAGTTGTAGTTGTTTACCCTAGCTGAAATAATGAACTTTTCCCACATTTGTTAGTTGCTAGATTTTCCCTTTGAAAATTTTTCAAAAAGTAACCTTATTATCTCATGATGTCTACTTTTTGATAATCTAAGGAAAGTCCCTTATACAAATTAAAAAAAAATTCTAAATGGAGAAGCCTTAGAGACATTGTTTCATTGTTTTAGTTTCTAATTTAGTTTAGTTTTTTTTTTTAAGATACGTGTGTTGTAGATTAAAATACTGGCTTAAAATGTTCTCCAGATTACATCAACTAATGGAAAATATATGTGAAAATGTGCAGCCGGAAAATACTTGCGAAAAATATTTTTGTGGATTTCTAACCACTTTTAAATCAGTGAGAGATAACATATCATAGTGAATAAAGAACCTATCTGGCAGCCAGGAAGAACTGGGTTCAAGTCTCATATACGTACATTAAAGAATGTTATTGATTTACATTTGTAGAGGAAATTTCCTCATCTGGGAATTCCCTAAACCAATGAAATCACACTCTACAGCCATTAATTCAGCAATAAAATAAAGGCTATAGGTCTTAATTGCAAAAAAAAAAAATTCAAAAGGATGATTATGAACATTAGAGGGAATAATGATTTTTTAAAGAAAATTACTAAACAAAAGAGACACCTAAAAATCTTCCCATATTACCCAAATAAACAAGGTTTGGACCAAATATTAATGTGGTAGAAATTTTTCTTTTCATTTCAATTCTGAGTGGGAAAATATGCTATGTAAAATAGAGTTATCATAGGATGATTTGTTGTATGCAGGAAATATCACCAAATATATCAGTATTTTCAGTGTTTTATTAAAAGATTATTTAATCACATTTTTGTTCTGGACTTGTAATTTCTGTGGTGTGAACAACTCTTAGAGGAGCAATTTTCACTAGTGATGCAGGGCATTCATCTGCAAATTATATTATTAAAGATTTACTTGGGCCACTGAGATGTTAAGTGACTTGTCCACATTCATGAAACTGGGTATTCTGAATTCCAAGGCTGGTCCCTTGTATACTAACACATGCTGCCTGTTATGTCTAATCATATGGAGATACAGCATGCTGTAATGTGTAGGACACTGGTCTTGGAGTTAGGATGGTCTGTGTTCAAATACTTCCGTAGACTTCCTCACAAGCTGTGTGATCTTGGGCAAGTCACTAAACCACTGTATTCCTCAGTTTCTTCATTGTAAAATGAAAAGCTTGTATTTAATGATATCTAAGTTTTCTTCCAATATCATCTTACATAAAAGATGTAAAATGCTATATGAATATTGCTATATTATCTCATCTTTTTCAAAGAAATTGTAGTTATACTGCTCTAGCTGTGTTGCTTACAGATAGAAAAATGATCAAGGTATTATAAGGATTTATTATTTTTATATATTAGAGTTATTAAAATCTCATGTAATGAACTGTGCACATAGAACTTTAATTTAGTGAAAAGTAAATACTTTTAAAAGTAAACTATTATAAAATCTAATAAATTCTTCTCATTAAAATTAATTGGAGTTCATTTGAAGGGGAAGGGGAAAAAGTGTCAGACATAGTCAGGTGTATCTGACTCCTCTGTTGGGGAAAATTTATTGGTTTCAGATTCAAAGCTTGTTATCTCTTCTCATCTAAATTTGTATCTACATCTGTTCTCACTTTGAGGGAAGGCGCTTTCCTTCCTATTTTTCCATTTGACATGTACTAAAAGTGAAGATATACTTCTTCTAAGTGAAAATTTGACCATATTCATCTGAAGAAATTGAAATGTGTGTGTGTGTGTGTGTGTGTGTGTGTGTGTGTGTGTGTGTGTAATAGGCATGAAAGAGCATGCTTGTTAGCTATTATAATTGAGCAAAATAAAGATTTAGTAGATTCATGAACAAATGGATTATTTATTTTATTGATATTGATATTTATTGCCCTTCTGTATTCACAGATTTTTAAAATCTTTTCCATCTTTACACGTATTCTTTTATCAATATTAATTTTAAAATTAGTATTATTGAATCATACACAGAAATATACTTTATTTAAATCACAATATGAAACATAGTTTGTGGCATACTGAAATTTAATATGGCATATTGCTTTAGGCACAGTGGGAACTTACCTTTATTATTCATTTGTAACACATATTCCCATAATGATGAAATAAATTATGAGTCTGATTAGATTGTGCTCTAACAAAAAAACACACAAGAGAAGTAAAATCCTTTTCCCCCGACTTCTGGATTTAGTGCTTAATAAGAATGCCAAAAATCTTGGGGATTGTGGTTGGCTTAAAGATTTGTTTTTTTT